CCGGTCTGCAGAGGCCGAAAGTAAACAAGTGTTACAGCTCAAATCCTCAAATGGAGAGCATAGTGTACATAGTGTTTCCAAAGGGCACAGAAGGATATATTATGGCATATTATTTTCACAACCATCCTGCAAGGTTGGTTAAGTTGAGAAAATGCAACTTTTCCAAGACCATCCAGTAAGCTTCACAGGCTAGGACATTTATCAGCTCCATCGCAGTTGCTTTTTTTCGTGTTTTGTGATATGATTTTTAGTTGACTATAACTTATGGAGACTCTATCCTGTTTGTTTGTTTGTTTGTTTTGGTTATTTTTGCAAAGTTTGCCACTGCCTTTATTCAGAGGAGATTTCCCACTGTCTTCCCCTTAGGCTAAGAGAGTGTGACCTCCCAAGGTTCTCCAGTAGGTTTCCATGGTTGAACCCTGGTCTTCCAGCATACTAACCCATTACTCATGCCACTACACCATACTGGCTTCATCCCCAAAACTCTTGATTTACTTTTTTAACTTCTTCAAAGCAATTGCTGACTACCACAGTTAGAAGCTAGGTTGAATTTTCACCCTAGTTAATATTCTTTGCTGTCATTTAGGTGTGAGATGAAGTCAACACTATTCTGTTCTCTTATGATTTTATGGTATTAATATTATTTTGCATGCCCTTTGTCCTTTAAGCCTTTCAATATAAAAAACCAGGGTGGAATTTTTGAAAACAAAATCAAGCATGATAATTTTACAACTTTATGACCAAACATCACAATAATTAGCAAATTCCAAATCAAATTTGTTAGAACTAAACAAAAAAGGTGTACAAGCTTTTCAGTTCTTCAGAATTTCTTGTCTGTCTAGGTGGCATAAAAGCAGGGCATGACTGAAGAAAGAGAATATGACAATTGCTGTCTGCAAATCTATTTCAGGCCGAGTATCCCTTATCTGAAATGTTTGAAACACAAGTATTTTAAATTTTTGATTTAAATTTTTTTTGAATGCCTGTATTTACATAAATGAACCAGTGTGACATACTGGTTTGAGCACTGGACTACGAGTCTGGAGATGAGGGTTTGATTCCCACTTGGCCATGAATAGCAATATTTATATTCATTTACATTTTTATACTGCTTTTTAGCGGACTAAACACTCTCTAAGCGGTTTATGTGTCAGCAAGGAAACCCACTGGGTTATAATGAAATCCATTGGGTGACCTTCGGTAAGTCATATGCTTTCAGCCTCAAGAGAAAGCAAAGGCAAACCTCTGAACAAATCTTGCCTAGAAAACCCCATGATAGGACCGCCTTAGGGTCACCATTAAGTCGGAAACAACATGAAGGCTCACAGCACACACGCACACGCACACACACACACAATGAGATATCTTTGAGATGGGATCCAAGTCTAAACACAAAATGTATTTATGTTTCGTATATACATTTGCTTCCACATTTGCTAGGGTTGGGGCACAGGACCCCTGTGAATGTGGAAAAACCGCAAATAACAAAAACACTATGTTTTTACCTGAGAGAACACCTCTCTAGGAATCTCTAACTCCCCTAGAGCAACTCTGTGGTCAATATCTGCCAGACATTGACCATAGAATTGCGCTGGAGGAGCTACAAATGCCTGGTGAGGTGGTCTCTCTAGGAAGGTCCTTCAGTGCGACTTTTGGTTAAAGTTGACCGTAGAGTTGCACTGGAGAACCTAGATATTCCTAGAGAGAACATATTAATAAAATTTGTGAATAATCAAATCTGCAAAAGTCAAAGCCACAAATGTGGAGGGATGAGTCTACACTTTATACATACTATTTAAAAAGGTAATTTTATACATACTATTTTTAATAATTTTGTGCATGAAATAAAGCTCTTGTGCATTGAATCATCAGAAAGCACAGGTGTCACTGGACTTTATCACATACAGTTTTTAAACCACCATCAGGTTTGGATAACAGTATCTTTGGCAATATTTATCGCATGATGCCATCTCCCTCTCATTGGTCCTTGTCACAATTCCAGAATAGCTTTTTTTCCTACTTTTTCTTCTGTTTTGTTTTTTTGTTAAACCATATTAGCACAACTCTAGAATTGCATGTCAAAAAACAAAACACATCCACCTACAAGCAAAAGTCATGCTGGATAGGGCATAGGAGAGGGAAGCAGGGTTAAGGACAAGGGCAAAAGAAGACGCCAGGATCCAGCAATAATCTGGTTGCAGTAATGAAAGAACATGTGGTAAGGAGTGCTCCCAAACCAATATGTATGGACTTTTCTTCATTAATGTGTTCATGATCTCAGACACCCATAAAAAAGGTTTTGGTTTTTGGAGTATTTCGTATTTCAGAATTGCGGATATAGGTGACTCAACCTGTATAGC